GTGGGGGAGGCCCGCCCCCCCCACGTCCTCCCCCGACCAGTGGCAGGATCCGTGGGGAGGGGATCCACGGAGGACCTCACTCCTCTTGGCAGGAGCTCTTAAAGGTTTTGGGGAGGGGGAAATGGGGGGAGGGACCCCAGGCCTTGCCCTCCCCCCCACTCCTGTGATCTGGGGGAGGGGGGTTGCTCGTGCGGGCGGGGAGAGGGCGGAGCAGGCAGCCCGTTCCTCCTCCTCCCCTCCCCTCCGCCTTACCTGGCTCTTTCCGCGCCGCCCGCGACACCTGATCCTCGGGAAAGGCTCGCGGAGTGTTTCGGGACTCGCTTCCTTCCCGGTCCTCCCCCTCCCCGGCTGGACGGGTAGGGTGGGGTGGGGGTCGGGGGGTCGGCGGGGAAGAGCCCAGCGCGTTTGGGGCACCTCGCTTTGTCCCCTCCGGGCGATTCCCGGGGCTGAAAACCGGGCGGGGGTCTCCGCAGCTCTTTCCTGACTCCGTGGGCGCATTCCGACGTGCTCTGGACACGGGAGGATGAAGCGGACGGACGTTCAGCAGAAAGAGGAGGCTGTTTTGCGGCCGCGGGTGGGGAAGACGCGCTGGGTAAGTCACCGGTCCGGGGTGGGAGCCCGACGGTTGGGTCGGGGTTTCGGGGATTTCCGTGACGCTAGAAAACCCGCTTCCAAATCCGTGGCTGGCTCGGGAGACGCGGGTTTCCATACCCGGAGCACATGAGAATATCCCTGGGTCCCCAGAACCTTGGATGGGGTTTCGCGTAAACATCTTGACTCATTGGCCACGCGTGTCTAGCGCTTCCAGACGTGCTGCGGGGGAATCTTTTGTCTCCTATACGCCTCGAGGCGGGGGTCTCTCAGGTTTTTCGAGGGGGGCTGGGAGGGGGCGAGAGGAGGGACCCGCAAGGGGAGCCCCCGCCGCCTCTTTCGGGAGAAATAAACCCGGGATTTCTTGTGCGTGTGTGTGGGAAGGGGGAGAAGCGTGTTTTGGAATCGGGTCTTCCGAGGGACGAATTTAGAGAGGGGGCGGGGGCGTCGTTCAATCTTAAACGGAGCAAGGTTTCGGAGGAGAGGGTCTCTAGAACTCTTAGGGCGGGGAAATCGCGCTGGGTGCGTGGGTGAGTGGGTGGGAAGTCCACGAGTGCCGCGTGGAGGGACGTGAGGACGCGGCCGCTGTGGGCAGCCTTGCTTGCTTTCGTCCTGCGATGCTTTGCCTTGTGGGATTTGAACCCACCCGCTCTCCCACCCGCGCGTGTGATCCCACACACCGATCCAGTTTAATCTCCCCGGCCTCGGTCGGAGGTCCTTTTGTGGCGACCTGATCCTCCCCGCCTCTCCTCGGCCTCCCCCGGAGCCCCCACGCGTGTCTGAGTCGTGAGGTGGGGAATCTTCAGGCGGGCGCCGGGAAGGATCCACGGGCTCGGGTCAAAACCTAAAGCGATCCTCGACTGGCCCCGCTGGCAGCTTCTGGATCGTCCAACGTGCCCCGTGGAACTCAGGGCTTTCCGTTTCTCCGGGTGGGTGGGTGGGTGGGTGGGTGGGGGAGCTTCCCCAGGCTCTGCGTGGAAATGGGCCCGCGGGGACCCTCGGCCCCCTCCCGTCTTGTAATTGCTCTGGGTGGTTGGAGCAAATGAGCTGCAAGCGCTCCTGGCTGGGAATAAGCCCGCGGGGGAAGGGGCGGAGGGCGAGATGGCCCGGCCTGGTGGGTTAGGGGGAGACCCCCCACTCGGGAATCTGATCGGGCAAAGGCTTAAAGCACATTTAATCCTTCTTTCCCTCCCTCCCTGCCTCTCTTTCTCACTTCCCTCCCTCCCTATCATTTCCATCTCCTTCCTTCCTTCCTTCCCTCCCTCCCTTATTCCCATCCCCTTCCCTCCCTCCTTCCTTCCCCTCTTTCCCTCTTTTCTCTCATTCCCATCTTATTCCTCCCTCCCTCCCTCCCTCCCTTCCCTATTCTCATCGCCTTCCCTCCCTCCCTCCCTCCCTCCTTCCCCTCCTTCCCAGCTATCTCTCATTCCCATATCCTTCCTTCCTCCCCTCCCTCCCTTTCTTCCCTCCCCCTCCCACATTCCCATCTCCTTCCCTCCCTCCTTCCTTCCCCTCCTTCCTTCCT